CGCGTCCGTAAGTCTCACAAAAAATAACAATGCGATTACATGCAGGGCACATGTTATCACGGGCAGTATTGTGCTAAATTGTAAAATTGTACGTATTAGATTGTCGTAGAGTCGATTTTGCAATGATCAGAGTACCCGGTTACACCGCCGTAGGCACAGAAATCTTAATAGAATAGAAGCCTCAGTAGCTTTTTCAGGAACTCAGAGGCATGTCTCGCGAGGCAGACCGAGCCACCATAAGTCCCCGCGCATCCGAGATATACTAACTGTATAAATACTTACTATGTAATTGCAACTGCAGTTACCTTCTTAGTTGCTTATCGTTTAAAACAACCAACACAGTCACATTTTAAGAAAATACCTAGACGCTTCTGCTAGACGGATTAGAAAATTTATGAGCGTCGCAATCAATATGGAAATAAATTACTTAAAGATTTAACACATGGTCAGATTGTACATTCATTGAATTAAACGAACCGACTCGTTCTGATTGCTCATGATATTATATTATTAAAAAATGCGCCAAATTAAAAGTACCCTTAACCGACGAGCATGTATGCGTAGGTATATAGATGTGGAAGAGGCGAGAGAGGTATGTCAGGATCGTGCTAAATGAAAGTCTGTAGTCTCTGCCTACCCCTAAAGTGACTTTTCAGTAAAACTAAAACAAACACTCGTATCGCCTCGCGAGCCAAAATACCACCGTACACACCTAACGAACCATCACCACCGAGGCAACTATGAGCTATGACTATGACTATGAGCGCGTCTAGTTTACCGATAAGGTATGGCTCGCGGTCGAGCGGCGCTCGGCCGAGGCAACGTGCGCCTGAGGCACGTCCAGCGTCCACACCAACCGAGACATTTGGCTCGCGAGGCCGCCGCGCGAGTCCGCGCGCTAGATGTGTACGCGACTAATATCGTATCTTATAACTTTTCCAAATTTAAAGCAACATTTCCGCAATTATTTCTTCTGCGGCTGCAACGCGCCGGGTACCAACCAATTGTTTTATAATTAATAGGGGGTAATTAAGATCATACTATATTAGTGCGTATGCCTGTAGAACTTTAACATCTCCTGTACTACTTAGAGCCGACGGACCGAAATAGATTGGAACATAGTCATCATCAATGTCTAAGCCTAATTCCTCGGTGAAAAGCGTTTAACCAGAGTGTATGGCGTAGCGTTTGCTTTTGCATAATGTTCTCATTTTTATTTTATAGGATAATGGTGATAAACTAGCACACAGTCCACCTGATGGTAAGTGGTTACTGTGGCCCATAGACACATACATCTATCCTCGATTACGAATCAAACTAAGATGGAATGCCTCCTTTCCAGTTAAAAGAGACTCCGGTGCTCTACACTTACCATACCAAAACACAGCGGTGTTCAGCTGCTATTTTACGCTGGTATCCTGTAAGAGCGTGGTCCTTCCCCGGTCGAGCCGACCTATTCGTGCTACAACTATATATAGCTGCAGCGTGGCTCTACCACATATAAAAGGAAACACAACAAACCAGTTGATAGTGGATGCTATAGCCCATAGATACATACATACACCTACATCTAATATCGATCAAAAACTAAAATGCGAATGCGTTATTCATGCAAGTATGCCATGCAGGATCTCAGACGACCAAGATGGAACAACTTGTTACCAGTAAATTGTCTTTGGTTCTATACACTCGGAAACGAAACACACCAGCATTGTGCTGTAATTATATTAAGTCCTGTCCCGGTCGAACCGACCGACTCGTGCATCCACCATAACCACACTGCAGCGTGGCTCTGCCACACCAGAAACATTTTTAAACTCTGGCACTGTTATGCAAAAATGTGTATTTCTCATGCACACCGATACTTTGAAAAGATTATAAATGAGAAACCATAATAAACTGATAAAAAGTAGTAACAACTTTATGATCTTTGGAAAAAAACAATCAGGCCAAACAGTTTTATTTCTTAGAATAATTTTAGAGAAGATGAGAGAATAAACCTAACAAATTATTTTTGAAGTATATTATTATTTCATCGACCGCATCGTGGTTGTGGTAAAGTAACAATAATATCTTCACCATTGACCTCCGAAACATTTTCACACTGTGACCAAACAAACTCCGTGTATATTTAAATAAAACTAGTTTTTACAGATTTTCAAACACTTTACAGCTCCCATGGTCACGGGGGGGGGGGGGGGGGGGGAGGGGGGGGGCTTAGATGTTTGTCGTCCCAATATCATAGTTAACCTCCAGATTAAAATTATTAATTTTTGATTCGATCTACGCAATAAAATGAATAATTATTACGCGAAAAAAAACCGTAAAAACTAGTTTTATTTAAATATGTAGTGCTCGCGTAAACATAAGAAATCAGTATGTAGACTCCGTGTACTCACCATCATACGTTACTCTTACCACATAGGTATAGAAACAGCTCTTAATTGACTAGTGTTACCGCGAGATCGCAACTCTTATTTATATTTTGTAGATTTATTTCATGCGCTTTGTATGCCGCTGCTAATTAGCGAGCGTTCATAACTGTGAAGATGAGATGCACAAAACGTATTATATAATAACTTCGCCTCGCATTATTATATGTTACCTAGATTCAGTGTCGCAGGTTGTATCACTATTATATCATTAACACACATATACAACGTACGATCGTGTCTATTTTATTTACAAGAACCAGAACTGGTACAAAACAAGACTCATTCAGACGTTGGTTCTGTAGGTTTTTTTTTAAATTAGGAAATTATGTAGCTTTGAAATGTTATATCTCCCGTACAAACAAAACAGACTGAACAGGCTATGATTTTGCGATTGTCATATTAAAAAAAAATTTTGGTACTAGAAAAGACGTCTTCCTGTTGTAAATAATACTACATGCCTTTGTCGTTATAACCTATCGATAACTTGCTAGCTTGCTACCAAGGATAATATCGAAATTTCTATCAATTCCAAGCTCGAGACGAGAGCTGCTTAGTTTGCAATTTTTGCTATTAGAAGTTAGTATTAGAAAGCTGACTGGATGGAGCAACAGCTAAATTAGTCTACTTTACTTACTTTCACTGTATCATGTACTGTGCTGCAGCCGGGTTGGAGACAATATTAATTTTACAAGAACAAGCGAAACGGCCAATCTATAACTTGAGACCTTACGAATCGCGAGTTGCTATTTCAAAGAGATTTATTATATGAAATGAAACTAATTTTACGGCTTTTATCGCGTTTAAAACGGTCATGATCGCTGGAGGGGAGGGACTGAGGTGTTTGACATCCCAATGTCATAGTCATATTTCGATAGTCCACACTTCATATTTCGATATCAACTTCATACTAGCTGACCAGGCAGACGATGTTCCGCCCTTTCTGATGGTTACGCGATGAGTTCCATTTTTACACACACACACTTTCATATTGAGTTATTATACATATAGCTAAACTATACATATAGCTAAATCCTCTTTTTATGACTAATAGAACCAACAGAACCAAAAATTATAAAAAATTAAAAAAAAAAACATAACCCTTCATTTTTATTCTTCCGTAAGCGGATATAAAGTTGTCCATATGATTTATACGCTATCATTTAGTGCCTACACACCAAATTTCATGGAAATCCGCCCAGTAGTTTATGCGTGAATCGTGTACAAATCATGTTTCTACAGATTATATATATATATATATATATATATATATATATATATATATATATATATATATATATATATATATATATATTTAGTCATAGTCAATTCGAAACTTCTGTCGTTGTTTATTTTTGAAAACATTATTTGTGTACGGAAAATACAATAGATTTATTTAATAAACAAGGGGCTGTCCCCGTAGAGCGGGTCGAGGTGATATGTGTTAAACTAAAAAAATATTATGAGTTGCATACAATTTTATAACAAATCTTTTAAAATATAGTGCAACAACTTTTTTTTTAATTCTACTAGCCTTAAAAATCCTTAAATTCGCAAAAAATAATTGTGGGTCACTCACTGACAAAAAAAACTATCTTATCTATCAAGTTGGACTAAACCGCACACGGTGTACAAATTTGATTAAAAACGGTTAATTAGTTTAAGAGTCCATCACGGACAAACAACGTGACACGTAATTTATATATATTACGATTTAAAAAGGCTTACTATAAATGAACAATAAATTAAGACAATGACGCAAATAACTTTAAATCTTTACAGTTGCAAGTCTCAATATTTTTAACGTCCATGTTCTCTGGCTACTGATATATTAAAATATATATAAAAATAGATATTTAAAACATTAATGTTATATTGACAATTGTTAATATAACATAGAAATAAAATAAGATATCACAGAGTTACTAGCCGGTTCTTCTCTGAGGTCTTATTTTCCAGAGCGGTGTACATTACGACGTTCGTAGGAGCTCTAAGCAAAACTAAATTGAATAAATCCCTTTGACTTTGACTGTGACACGGCGACAACTTCCGAACATTCTATGTAACGTTTAGCAATAAATCATAGAGAGTAATCAAATTTATTAAATTGATTTTAATAAAAAAAGGTTATTACGAAAAATGGATTATTATAATATCAAGAAATACATAAATGAAAGTATTGCTGGTTCTGTTAAAATTCATTTAAAATATTATACAAAATACCTGTTTAAAAAAAAACCCGTTGGTTTTCTTGCTGGTTCTACCGAGGACAGAGGCATTTTCCGAACCAGTAGTAAAAAAAGACTTTCAATAAGTATTATATAATAATCTGTATAGAAAAAAAATTCTATTCTATGTTATACACAAATAAATCTACATTAAATTATTTTTTTATATTACTTGACAGCTGTTATGATTTTGGATAGTATTTAGATTATTAGAGTTATTAGGGTTGTATTGTAAATTGTTATTAAAAATAATACCGGCAAACATATAACAATCGAAAACATCCATTATAAATACGAACAAAATTTGTCATCCCATTATGACAACCTATTCTTTATTGACATGGACAAAAACAATCCGGTTCTCAACTCAGCATTGCAGAACCCTAGTAAACTTACAACGAAACCTACGTATTTCGTCGCTTTCCTATTGAAGCCAAGAAAATCCAACGGAATGACGGCCGGCGGGCACACGCCGCGCTTCCGACGTTCCGACACCACTTTCGCTTACGTTCGACACCACTCGGATAACTTCGCAATACAGCTGACTGGGCCAAGGTGCGAGCGAGAACGCGCGCTAATATTAACGCTCACGCTAGAAAAGGACCGCAGAGCCGCGCACCGTCTAGCGCCGCCATTTATTTCTTTCTAGTGTTCGCCTCGTAACTAGTGACAGCGTTTGATTATTGCAAGAGCTTACATGTTTTAATTGTGAAAATTGTGTATTCAAGTGTTATGCACGCATTGTAATAAAGGTTTCAGTGCATTTCGTTAGAAATCCTATGTGAAGCATAATGGCTGACATTCACACATCTGTTGTCAACATAAAATGAGATTATGCAAGTTAGAGTGGGATGTGAACGAGTTTTAGGTAAATAATGTGTTAAAAGTTTACAGTAATAATTACTAAAGTTGTGTGTGGTTATATTTCGTGTAACAAAGTTGCAATGTTCTACGCGATACAACGTTATATTGAAAGGTGAGCTGGACAGATAATGACTTTGTTCTGCAGGGTGTCTAGGCCGCAAGGTAACTGATCATATTGGATCACAACTATGAATATGGAAGAAATATCTTTATGAAATATCAAATGTATTATGTTTAAAATGCAACAACAGTAGGTATAGATTTTAATTACAATTGTTACTCTTGGGGAGATAAGTTCAGTAATTAACTCGCATTTTCGGATCGGATAAAGTTAATTATCAAGGTTTACGTGGCGTTGAGCCACTCATCATTTTTTTATACAAAAAGATAACATTCACCGTAATAAAGGCGCCGCCGCGTCGATGCAACACACATAAAATATTAAATAAATGAAATTATATTTACTATATACAAAAATTATTCTTTCGTAGTATCATAATACCTCAAAATGTAACAAAAAGTAATACGAGTAATTAACTAAAATATTTGAGAAAAACTCATCGCAAACTTCAAGGTGAAATTTAAGAATGTTCATGGCCGAAACATGTTAATTAATTAAGAGTATATTGAAATGTATTCATAAAACAAATTTTTAATTAAAACGCTGTGATGGATAAAAAAAAACACGGCGTAATTACACCGTATTTACTAATTTAGGAAATGGCACGCAATTGAATTAACTTCCAATATACCTACATTTGGGTAGGTACCCTACAAATTTTATATTTAAACTAGATGCATTATTAATGAAAAATATTACATTTCGTAATAGGGGAATACCTATTTTTTTAAATATAAAACCTTTTATTATGAAATGAAATCAAAACTATATATTATTTTATGTAAGAAATTATAATTTCGTTGGCCAAACGTCAACATCTTAACATTCACTCTGTCTGTATTTACTAATTTAGGAAATGGCACGCAATTGAATTAACTTCCAATATACCTACATTTGGGTAGGTACCCTACAAATTTTAGATTTAAACTAGATGCATTATTAATGAAAAATATTACATTTCGTAATAGGGGAATACCTAATTTTTTATATATAAAACCTTTTATTATGAAATGAAATCAAAACTATATATTATTTTATGTAAGAAATTATAATTTCGTTGGCCAAACGTCAACAACATAACATTCTCTCTGTCCGCGAAAAAGACAATAGTTAAACAATCGAAATATTTAAATGACTCATGACTGGACAGTGGACATGACGCTGGACAGTGAAATGGAATCGTTTCAAAACGAAATTCATCTGTCCGGAGAACAAACGGCGAAAGTCTACGGGTATCTTCTATTTTGTCATTTTAAAAGCCAATAATATAATGTTCTTAATCAAAATCGAAAATGAATTAAATCATATTTATTCTATAATAAATTTACACTACAAAAAGAAAAGAAGAAAAAGTTAAAGCTGGTAAATAATAAATATAGGCCATGTGTGTGGTCAGTGTATGTGGCAGCCATCGTCCTCCCCGGCTATATCAAAGGGAAGTGGACAACCCGCCACACAATTTTAAAATAGTATAATACGCGTAAACATAATTATATGAAAGTTTATCCAAAATTACTGATTGCATTACATCAAACATGACAAACAATCTCTTACTAATATAAGAATTTAATAAATTATAGTTACAATGACTATACTAAAAATATCACAGAGAACGAAGTTAATTAAAATCATAATTCTGGTATTTGAAAAGGACGAAGAGAGAACGAAATGTGAAATATGGGTAAATCAGGAACGTCTAGAACAGGTAAATGAAATTGTATACTTGGGGAGTGCTTTAGCCAGGATGGAAGATGTGATTTAGATGTGAATAGGCGCGTCGCTGCCGGAAACAAAGTCAATGGTGCTCTGAATGCATTAGTCAAAAGGCAAGGCGTGGTGAAGAGTGCACGCCTTGCAATACATAACGCAGTGTTGGTACCGACTTTGTTATATGGCAGCGAAACCTGGGTATGCCAGAAGAAGCATAAAAGCAAGTTGAATGCAGTGGAGACGCGATCTCTTCGTAAAATGTGTGGCGTTACCATAGCGAGATCGAAAGCGAAACGAAGAGATTCGCAATATGGCACGATTGAAAGATGACCTTATCACAAAAATTGATAGGGGCGTACTCCAATGGTTCGGGCACGTTGAGCGAATGAGTGAAGACCGAATGGTGAAGAAAATATATAGAGCGAAAGTAAATATTAAAAGGTGTCGAGGTAGACCGAGACTAACTTTCGAAGACCATGTGAGCAAATTGCTCGAAGAGGGGAAGGTCAAGAGTACTCGGATACCTAGACGTGCATGTATGAAGAAGTTAATGAACCTGAAAGAAGCGAAAGAGGTATGTAAGGATCGTGACACTTGGCGATCGGTTCTCTCTGGCTACCCCGTTAGGGATTGTGCGTGAAGATAAGTAAGTAAGTATAATCAAGGAATATTAATAATTACGCATGTAATCAGTTACTACAAGTGAAGTTAATTACAGTATATTGAAAGGTGAGCAACAAACTCTACATACAGCAATTAGCTGGTCCTAAAATGTACACTATATTAGAACACAACAAGAAAAAAATAATGAAATATATAACTAAGGTACAGTAGGCCGTCTTATCGCTCCAAAAGCTATTTGTGGAACAAATAACCTATTTAATTTTATTAAGCAATTAGGTACTTAAGTGTTAATAGCAGTATGGAAATATCAGTCTACCACCGCACCGCTACAAGGCTTTAAACATATATCTTGTCTAAATGGATTGAAGTAATATGTTTTCATAGGGGGATGGGACAATTTTTTCCTAATTGTAGACAATTACCAACAAAGATTTGTGCGACCTACAAAATAACGGCACATATTTCTTGATGGCCCAAATCCGAGAATCGTAATGAGGACAATCACCACCCAACACAGCGACCGTGAACCGACGGGGAAGAAAAGTTCTTGAGTGGCAGCCTCGTACCGGTAGGCGAAGTGTAGGCCGGCCCCCGACTATTTAGGAGTAACGACCTGGTAAGATATGCAGGAAGTCGACTGATGCAGGGGGTCAGGACGGTGCTTTATGGCATTCCTTGGTCTATGTTTAGCAGTGGGACTTGTGAAGGGCTGCAATGATAATAATAATACACGATACCACATCTTAGAAAGGTCTATAGCCAGCAGTAAATTCAAAATCAAGAAGGACTATTAGGTCGGTCTAACAGTAAATTATGTAGAAGGCAATAAGATATAATTGTTAACATCACTGTACCTATACCTGTACCACACATTGTATATCTGTACCTATATATTGCAATGCTTGACACCGTTATTCCCCTTATTCTATAAAAATAAATAAAAACACGATCGAAAGATATGATCGAGAGATAGACGAAGAAGAAACTTAAACTACATTAGAATAACAATATAATAAATATTACATATATAGGAACAGGTTTGTGTGAATAATACATCTATCCTCTCATTTAATGTTGTGACTAACTGCAAAAACTTACCAATATATTTCAAGATGAATCTTTGATGCATAACATTTTGTTTAGAACCAGTTTATTTTTGTGTTTAACACTTATTTATTATATGTATAAGTGGTTTTATACAGAATAAGAGTCCTGATGGTAAGTGGAAGTTGAAGCTGTGGCCCATAGATATCTACATCTATCCTTGAAAAAATAAAAATGCAGATGCGCTGTCCCCTGAGGACTAAGATGATTTTTTAATAGAATACGGGTGATAAGCGAGCACACAGTCCACCCGATGGTAAGTGGATGCTGTGGCCCATAGATATCTACATTTAATCTCGATTAAAAATCAAAATGCAGATGTGTTGTCACTCCTGAGGACTACGATTACAGTAAAAAGGGTCTTCGCTTCTCTACACTCACCATACGAAACAAAGTCGCATTAAACTGCTATTTTACGCTAGTATTCTGTGAGAGCGTGGTCCTTCCCCGGTCGAGCCGACCCATTCGTGCTACAACCATATATAGCTGCAGCAAGGCTCGACCACGTAAAATATTTAAATAATAATAATTTAAATATAACAATATATTTTGTTTCAGTCAATAAGACTATGAGGGTTGTAAAATAATGCGGTGGCTGCACAAAATATTGACGCTGGCAATAATTTGCGCAGCTGTGGGAGAGGAGTGCCCCTCCTTCTGCAACTGCTCCAGGACACTACTATCATGCTCCAGCGTAGCCGTTCCCGGTAACAATCTCACCAGAATCACTCTAGCCAACCACGGCACGGACCTCCAGACCATAATATGGACAGACTCTACAGTTCAAGCAATAGACCAGGATCTATTTTTAGGCCTATACAACTTAGAGTACATCGATTTGAGCAGAAACGAAATCAAAAGAACAGAACATGATCTGTTTGCAAGACTGACCCATTTAAAACATTTGAATCTTTCAAGAAACAAAATCGAAGACATACCCCGCTTCACTTTCGCTTATCTAGATAATCTGGAAGTTTTGGATGTGTCTCACAACGAACTCCACGTAATACCATTCCAGGTCTTCGGGCCACTGACTAGGTTAAAGTATTTGGATATATCGCATAATAAAATAGCAACTTTCTTAGATTATTTTTTTAAGCCTAATCGCCAACTGAAACAACTGTTCCTAAATAATAATAGCATAGTCGAAATAACTTCTAAAGCTCTAGTCAACTTGAGGGAATTGGAGATTCTCGATCTATCTGGTAACAAATTAGATTATTTACCAAAGTCTATTTTTGATAGTTTTGATGAACTAACCGATCTGAATCTTAGCGACAACAGCTACCAAAACATATCACATGATGCTTTTAAGAATTTACATAAGTTGAAATGGCTGAATTTGGGCGGAACTAGGCTTAAAATGTTGCCGGCTGCGCTCTTCCAACATAACGAAAATTTGCAAACGTTCTACCTCGACAACACTCAAGTGACAGTTATACATAATACGAATTTTAAGGGTTTGATTAATCTACAGCGACTTTTTATTAGAAACAATAGTTTTTTAAGAGAAATCGAAACGTTCGTTTTCGATGATACACCATCAATAACCCATTTGGATATAAGTGGCAACGACTTGACGTTTTTACCTCTAACGTTAGAGAAGTTAGATAAATTGCAATCTCTAAAAATAAGCAGAAATCCGTGGGCTTGCGACTGCCGAATGGCATGGTTTGCTGCCTGGGCGGACAAGAGGAAAGAAATCATCAAATCCGACCTGAGCTGCAGGCGAGCATACCCGGACGACATGTTAAGAACGCTTAACCACACTAACTGCAAACCCCCACAATTAATCTTGAGCAGCCCACTGACTTTGTACAGATTGCAGACAGACGCGTTACTCGAGTGTAGATTCGATGGAAACCCTGCCCCATCGATCACTTGGATTACACCAACCAGGGACGTCTACCATTGGAATCCGAACCCGCTCATTCCGGACATATTTCACAAACACGGAGTGGCTCATGATAAGTACTATCGGCCCATAGACAACGGAAAATCACGAGTGAGGGTCCAAGATGATGGCACATTATTTATTGGCGATATACACAGAGAAGATACAGGAACCTATCTGTGCTACGCATCAAACCCTTCAGCAAATTTGACCGTTGAAGTTACTTTGAACATCGATCCAATGACCATGTTTGAAATAAAGATGTACAGCCTGCTCTGTGGAGCGCTATGTGCAGCAGCATTCTTGGGGCTAACACTAATGATTCAATTTATACGTTACATATTCATCAAGTTAGTATGATTATTGCATAAAGTTTGGTATTCTTTATCAGCATTTAAAGAATTTTTTACCGACTATTTCAGATTTCGACTACTAGAAACATGTTGTAGCTGCTGTGCATGTGTGAGTCGCGACGCGCCACGTACACGTCAAATATACAACATGTTAGATAACATTGAACAGTACAAGAGATTGCAATTGGAAAAATTAAGAGAAAACTACGCTGTCCAAGTAAATATCTTTTTATATATTGTATTAAGACATTAGATACATGTATTATATAAAAATCATAAAATGCTTATAGGTTCATCGGATTAAAGAGAATTGCACGCAGCAAATGGAATGGATACAAAGCAGTTATTCAACGCAAGCTACACACCTACGCAACTTCAGAGACATCGGCTCCAACCATTTGACTGCAATGAGGGACCAGTATTATGATCAGGTAATCAAATTTGCAATGTTTCCATTTAAATGTTATGAAGCCATGTTGTGTGCAAGTATGTATATTGAAAGTGTGTGTACTTTTGAATTTATAAAAAGTTTGAAGTATTTTTGTAAATTTAAATTTGTTTATGCAAGTCTTGTTATACGTTAGACAGTGGATTATAGCCTCTAAGAAACAAATAAGACAATAAACTAAAGCTTTAATCTACATCTTAGCTTCCGATAGAATATGGTATAAACATCTCGTTTACGCCTGACGTAAAATACCCAGATTGACGCCGAGGAGTATGTCAAGGATGCAAGACATCGCAAGTCCCTCTACCAGGTTTGGCGATTAAGGTTAAATCTCCCTAAACGGTAGAGAAGAGGCCAATGTCTAGCAGTGGACTTTGTGAGCTGATGATAAAGAAATTTGTTCAAATTAATCGTTAAATTGGCCTAAAAGAAACATCGTATTGCCCACCTTAGGTTTGACCCCTTTGATTTATATTTTTAAAATTACAATTTTATACAAACATGCAAGACTTAATTGCCTCAATTATTATCCACATTTCATCTCATCGTCAATAAAACGTAATAAATACTAATTTATTTACTCTCAATTAATCCGCACAGGTAAAACGCGTTCGAGAGTACTCCACGTCGCAACTTAATTGGGTTCGGGAGAACTACGTATTCCAGAGGAACAAGATTCGGAAGTTCAGCGCTCACCAAATACTGAGACTGCGTGAATCCTACAAATACCAGCAGCAGACGTTAAACAAGGTGTTGGAAAATTTGCCCAGTTTATACTTTGAGAACTGTCGGAGCGGGTCTTGTGGACACAGTGATTCTATGCCCTTTGATCCTGACGTAGAGATTATCGATATGTATCTAAAGACAAAGATAGAAAAATTGTCGCATCTTCCCAGTCCGATACCGGATGACGAGAGCAGAGCGTCTGTTTACTACACGCCGACCGAAAGATCTGTGAACTCGAGAAGAAATTCGCCAGTTACGATTCCAGACGACATCCACATAAATATAATTGAACGTGGTCCTCCTAGGTTGATGGCAAGGATAAGACCGATACAGCCGGTTCCGCCGCCGACTCTCGAATCTTCTTCGCCGCCATCGACTTCCAAAGCGGGCTTACAAATGGGACAAGTTAAATACAAGCGTGACCGGACCGAATTCAAACCGTTCAGCGAGCCGCTGCTGGGTAGAGAGCGTGAGAGATGTCAGTTAGCCATCAGCGCGAGTTCACCGGAACTGAGGCAGGTGCAAGTGGAGTGTGAAGTTGAACTGGAACCTAAGAGCGATGTGAAGCGAGAAATAAAACGCGACGCGGGTAAAGGAAAGGAGACGCGCGTACTGCTGGCGGTGGAGTTGGCGCAACCTGAGTGCCAGATAAAGCATGCGGCCGGTCAATTGGTGTGTGGCGAGTGCGCGAAGTTGTGCGAAAACACGCCCTTGTAGTACAGGCTTCTCACGCGCGTGTTTAAGATCTACGCCGTGTCCGGTCAAACGTTGGCCGTCCAAAAGCCTACCGATATCCCGCTCTGTGATTTCAGCGGCCCTTCGCCGTCCTACGTATGATTCTCAGTGCGCGATACGTGTCTTGCCCGTCGTCCCTTGGTGAAATTAGAATTATTATTCCAAGTCTCTCTGTGAGTTCGCGGAATGTATCTTGCCCGGTTGAGGTGTCAGCAGTGATGGGGTCTCGGGTCTTCGGACATCACTTATAAGTAAGCTGTGATAGACTAGATATGAAACGCACGCGCTGGCGTACGTAAATCGACGTCTCCTAGTGGTAGGTTAAGGATATTGAATCTGCTGCCAACCTTAGTGGCGAAATTGTAACGGTTTTCTATTTAAGCGTTCTATGGGTAATCGAATCAAATGTGTAAATATGTATATTTGTTTCGATTCATTTTCATTTTGATGTATTTTTAGAAAATGAAAATCTTATAGTATTATGCATTTTATATTTGTTCAAACTTAAAGCGTAGTTAAAGGAGGTATAAGGAAATTGTTACTATCTTTGTTGTAATTGTTGCGAGATTAGTGTAAATTGGTGTATCTTATAAGCTGGCGCGATCTCTTATGTTGGATGTCTTTCATTTTACCAAAATCTTGTTTACAGAATTTAATTTTTTTATAAAAAGAAAGTTTTCGGTTTATCGATACGCATTAAATCATTTTTTTTACATATTTTCTATTATACATTTATAAAACAAGTTTTCTGGTGATATGCCAAAATACTACAATCAAGCAATGATGTTATTATAATAAACGTTTCTTAATATGAAATAAACATTGTTGAGAAATTTCTAAATATTATAAACAAGCGTAAATATTAAATCATGGAGACTAAATTATTTTTCAATTTAATCTTTCTCGTTTTATTTGCGTTCTGTGCGAAAACTAACAAGGCGAGTCGTTATCTTGTAGCCATAAATGTCATTTAACCGATTGTGGTTATTGCTTATTGTCTGTATTGATCAGCTTTATTTACATGTATCATGTGATGCAATCAAAATGTCTAGCCTTGTGAAAAATATTCTATGGTTATGTTGCCATTATCCACTAATCATGTTTCTTGACAATTCAGATATTTATTGAAATTTAAACGACATTTCATAACTTCAAACTTTGTTCAAATGTAATTGACAATGTAACTAAAATGTGTCCAAAAGTTTCTACAAATGGTTAAAAGTATACAAATAAAACAATGACTTGAATTAAATAATTTATTTGCAAGACTTAGATGGCACACAACATCAAACGAGTGCGCAATAAACTAAATAAATAACTATCAAAATTTCTAGACTGCTAAAACACACAGAGGATAATATCATACAACATACAACTCGCCCACCGTTACATAGCTGAAAGTTCTAAAAAGCCATCACTCAGATCACCATGTATCCCACAAAAAGTGCCTGTTGACTGACCCAATAAATTCCAACGAAAACGCAGCGCTGAAATACACACTGTCTTTTTTATATTTATATTATATATTATATAAATATATGAAACAATATAACAACAACCGTAATTCCAAATCGGAAACCGTCCATAGACATCTAACAAGGAAAGTAGTTTATTTTCTGATATTTTAATAAAACGGGTATAATACAAATTCAGATAATTTCTTAATTTAAATCGTTTTCAAAGTATACTTCATTTTACATTTACATTCATTTGTATTTTTGTAGTAGACATAATTAAGGCAAGTATTCTTAAGGATAAGGCTAAGCCATGACATTTATTACATGATTGTTAAACATATTTTAATATCTTTTAATATATCATCTAAACCTAATGTTATTATATTCTAATATTTAACTTAGAAAATCAATTTACCTCAAGAAAACCTAAATAAAATTAATCTAAAGTACCTATAGAGCAAAATATTATATTCTTCCACTAAAATTAACTAGTGCTATAAGCATTTCGTTAAGTAAGTTAAAATAATTCAGTACTAAGTATAGGATATATGAACTAAAAAAAGTATAGAATCTCTTAAAATATATATATATAATATATAATTATAATCAAGCAACTTGATTAATTTGCACTATGCATTAACATTAATGTTTTTAAATAAAAACATTAATGTTCTAAACAAATTTCATCATATGAATTATGAGAATTAGGTAAATGTTCCAGATAACCGGAGAAGTTATAAAGGTTCTTTATTAGAACCAGCGTATAAAGCCTAAATAAAACGGCATTATCAAAATTATATACTACCTAAAATCCTAGTATAATCTTTTAACAGTCATTTTCATTTAAACTGACAAGAGTTACATGCTAAGGTAAAATAAAATTTCACCCATCATCACCATAACCACCACGCCCAATTGTAAATATCTTTCGAATACACGGGTTACTAAATGAGTTAGGAAGTTAGACTCCATTGCTTACCTTTCTTAGTGCTATATTAAAAATTAAAAAAAATATATAAAAAAATGGAGAAGTTATTCAAGTATATCGCGTGTCTTAGTTTTTGGTTAGACAGAAAAATAATCAACGCGTTGTAGGTATCGCCAGTGGCTCTATCATCAATAATGTTGTTTTTTTTCATTATATTAATATAGACCAGGGATCCCCAAACAGAAACGAAAACTGATAATTTGTAACTTTAATTGTATTAATAATTATTAATTACACTTACATTTTGATGAGAAAATGATGTCAAGTGTACTCATTTAACTAACCGCAAAGTTTTTAAATCGTTAAGTATTTTGTATCAATAGCAAAAAAACTAGAGATAGTATCTTTAAAGTAATTTGTCTGTGGGGGTCTGAGGTATCAGTTATAAACAAAATAGTTTGGGAATCCTTGGACTAGAGAATAAACTAGGTGGTAGGACTCCCTTTTCTGGCTAAGAGTCCGTCTGGGTGGGCACCACCCTTTAACGTATCTCTGGCGCCAATCAGTATTGCACCCACTGTTGTTTTGCTGTCCGAAGGTTAACTGAGCCAGAATTTTAAAGACCTTGAGGCATTACATCTTAGTCCTCATTAATAAAAACGCACATGTAGCCTCATTTTTCTGGAACTGACAAACAAACAAACTACAATTGACAGGCTACAGTGTTACTAAGAGCGCTGTTCTTGTTTTAAATTGACTATGACAATAACTTACTATTTCAATTCCTAACATTTTTACTTGTTGTTTTCCTTTCATAATTGTCACACTCTTTTCAGCCGACTTAAAAAGGAGGAGGTTCTCAATTCGACTGTATTTTTGAACATCATATATAAAAGAAAGTCATATGTCATTCAATTTCAATGACTGTATTATCATTTCTAATTAAACAATATAACGCTTCCAAACTTAAACAAATATTCCTTCTGCGGCTGTACCACATACCAGCAATACCAACTAGTTTTAATTAAAATATGCTCAAATTCTTTTACGCCATAATATATCTAAATAGATAAATTTATTAAATTATTACTTTCCATCTTAGTCCTCTAGGGGTGACAACGCATCTACGTTTCGATTCTTAATCGAGGATAAATGTTCTATTGGCCACGGCATCCACTTACCGTCAGGTGGACTGTGTGCTCGTTTGTCACGCTTATTGTATAAAAAAATTACTTATTACTACTTACTGACTACTACTAGTTTCCTATTGCACACTGAAATAAAAGAAACAGCACCTAAATCTACAAATTAGTTTACTTTAAATATAAACGAAATATCATCGATAGTTCAAACAGTGAATCGAATACCATCAGACTAGTATCAGTTTGATCATCTTCACACTCAAGCATGTTAGGTCATAACCATTCTAAAACCTAAACTATGAGGCTTAGTAATTAATGATCATTTTCATACATAATTACCAAACTTTTTTCCTTTCTAAAAACCAGTACAAACAAGAAATATAAAATGAAAAATAAATCTAAAAAAATTCTTTAGGTACTCGTAGTCTCCTGTAATGTATGTTCTTCATGGACTATGCAATAACTTTAATGCTTTTAAAGTGATCCTTAACGAATTCTTCTTAACTAACATCTCTAATCAGACTAATTAATCAACAGACTTCAAAAAAAGGAGCAGGTTCTCAATTAGACTGTATTTTTTTATCTCAGAACGTTTTTCCAGGTGAACCGATTTTAATGATTCTTTTTTATTCGCTTAGTCAAAATAAGACTTTGTCTACATTGATGATGTTCTCATTTTATATTTGAAGTCGGTTTACCAAATTTTTAATTTTACCACTTGTTTCTAACCATACTCAACCATTCTGTTATCAAAAAGTTATATAATTGTTTTTATGTGCCACAATAGAATAGCTTAAATGATTTTTAGATATATGATTGTTTTTATATCTATCTTTTGACATCTAGATTGAAATAATAGTAAAAGTGAAAGTGTAAACATCTTTACACTTCTACTATTACTTATTCAGTCTTTTATATCATTATTATATTAACACCTTAAAGCAATAACTTTAGATCATAGTTTCAGTATGTGAAATAACATGCTTTGGCTAACAAAATTGTCTAAATCTGTAAAAAAATTTAATATTTTTTGCGTTAGTAAAGATATTTATTTGATAGGTAAAAATCACAATAAAGATATTTTGCCGGTATTTATTTATCAATCTGATTTCAGCAAGATGACCCTTTAATTTTTTTTCAAAATTATTTAATTAGAAATGCGGATATAAAAGCTTACATCATCCTTACAGCCTTTCAAAAGTCCACTGCTGGGTCATAGGTCTCCCCCAAGGAATGCCACAAAGCACGGTTCTGAGCCACCTGCATCCATCGACTTCCTGCATGTCTTACCAGGTCGTCACTCCATCTAGTGGGGGTCGCCCCACACTTCGCCTATCGGTACGAGGCTGCCAATCGAGAACCTTTTTCCCCATCGTTGTCGGTTCTTAGAGCTATATGGCCGGCACATTGCACTTCACCTTACTAACATGAGGATAAAATTATATTGTATATCAT